GTGGCCCAATGCCCCGTATTTCAGACCCTTTGGGATCAGCTTCCCTTGTTAAAACTTATTTGTCTTGTGCCTGCTTATCTTTGGGATACTCAACCAACTAATCTGATAAATTAATTTAAACTCAGGTGCTAATGAATGGTAATGGCTGAATGTCAGTCTACTCTTGGGTAACAACTGATTTCAGCAGCACCTTACTGCGAAGAGTAAGTCATACATTTCAGGCATGTGTCCCAGTCATTGGGGGAAGATATTTTAAGCAGGGGGATTTCCTCAAACCCCTCAAATTACACCATGTAGACAGCTGCCTATCCCACATGATCTGGCTCCTTGGCATCCAGTTATCAGCACTCAGGGAACACTAGAGGAAACAGGTCTGTTCCTCCTCTTAACAGAGCTTGGAAACAGTGACTGGACTATTTATGTTGCTTAGAGGAAAAGGGCATTTACTCTGGAACCTACCCAGAAAGCACACATTCTCTGGTCTTAGAGGTGAACTCTTCTCTACCTCATCTCTGGGGATGGCTGAATGGCTAGTGCCTAGATTAACCAAAATGAGTGAGCTGGGACACGCAAACACCAAGAAAGGACTGGTAATAGACAGTTAAGCTTCCCAGGTAAAAAGATCCTAGACATCGATATGAATTTATAGGAGCACACACATGAGAGAACATTGAACCTAATAATAAAAATAGCTGCCTTTTATCAGGTGTGAACTATATTAACTGTACCAAAGTATTTACACATTTAAAAAGATCTAATCCTGGGGCGCCTGGGTGGCTCAGTCCTTAAACGTCTGCCTTCGAGGGGCGCCTGGGTGGCTCAGTTGGTTAAGCGACTGCCTTCGGCTCGGGTCATGATCCTGGAGTCCCGGGATCGAGTCCCGCATCGGGCTCTCTGCTCAGCAGGGAGTCTGCTTCTCCCTCTGACCCTCCTCCCTCTCATGCTCTCTGTCTCTCATTCTCTCTCTCAAATAAATAAATAAAATCTTTAAAAAAAAAAAAAACGTCTGCCTTCGGCTCAGGTCATGATCCCAGAGTCCTGGGATCGAGCCCCGCATCGGGCTCCCTGCTCTGCGGGAAGCCTGCTTCTCCCTCTCCCACTCCCCCTGCTTGTGTTCCCTCTCTCGCTGTGTCTCTCTCTGTCAAATAAATAAATGAAATCTTTAAAAATAAATAAATAAATAAAAAGATCTAATCCGCTGATACTGAGGAAAATAGGCGTTGTTACCCCCATTTCAGATAAAGAAACTGAGGCAAAGGTAGGTTAAGCAACTATCCCACAGTCAAATGGGAAATGAGATTTGAAGCCAAGTCTTTGAACTCCCAAGTTCATGGTTAGAACAGAAACTTAACAGCCTTTCATATTTCTGAATCAAGAATCTTAAAGTTGAGGATCCTAGAACATCCTTTTTGATTATCCAGACCCTGATTACCTCTGCTAAAAGGAGTTTACTACCTTACAAGGCAGTCTGTGCCATACAGCTATACTTGTTGGGAAGCTTTTAAATGTTAAGTTAAAATCTGTTTCTCTAGAACTTCCCTTCATTTGGTCTTCACCATGTTCCCTGGAGAACTCAAAACAAAACTATTTCTCTCCATGAAGCCATTTTGGTATGGAGACAGATCATGCACTACCCCTTCCTTCCCCCACCTGCATCTTTGGGGTAGTCTCAGTCCCAGGAGATCTCACTGTTGAACTGTTCACTCTCAGACTCATCAGTAACGCAGAAAAGCCCCAAAGTGCCACCTATATCTTGGGTCTAAATTTGGGTAATAGGTTTGATCCCAGTTACTTACTCAGGTACCTATGAAACATCACCTTAGTAAGCCATTTGACTCCCCATGAAAGTATGGAATTCGTCTAATAGAGCAAATAATGGCTAACATTTACTGAGCTCTTTTTATGTGCCAAGAACAGTGCTAAGTGCCTTACAAACACTTGCCCCACTCCCAACCCAACCACTCTGTCAGGCAGGTACTGTCATTAGCCCAGTTTTACAGATGAGGAAACTAAGACCCAACTATTCTGAGGTCTGCCCATAATTGCATGTCTTTCTTTTCCGTTGATGATGTGAGGAGAGGGTAAGGGCAGGATGGAACTTGCTGTCCCCAGAGTGAGACTTGCATTTTCCCATCCCTCTTTGCTTATACACTGCCTCTCTCTATTTTGGCTCGTTTCTTCACAAACATTTAAAAAGCGCCTCTCACGCAGTCAAACACTTATTCTACAGTGACTAGAGTTAGGACATAGTCTGCAAAGAAAGTTATGACACCCTCTAAACCTTATCTCCAGGGTCGAGGAAGGCTTCAGAGAGGAGGTAGCACCTGATGTGGGTTATGAAACATAAATAGAAGAGAGGAATCCAACAGTCAAAGGACAGGTTAGGGAAATTCAAATTTCAGCAAGAAGGAACAGCACGTGTAAACACCCAGAGTCACGAATTTGCATTAGAGGAAAAAACCCACCGTATCGTTGTGAGTAGGGTCCAAAATTTAGAAGCCTAAAATAGAGGTAAAGTTTGCATTGCTGTGAGGTTAAAGAAAAATGGTTATCTTTTCAGTTGGATCTGTGCTGTCACAAAAAGCACACAAAGTAAGGATGGTGAAACTCATTGTGTACACAACAGACTGCTCATTGAAGCGAAGTTCAAAGGATCATGAGGCAGTCATTTGCAGTTGCCCCCTAAAACACTCCTTCCAAAGAGCTCTGTAGTCTGCCCCCAAATGAGAAAGTGGGAGGGTGCTTGGTAGAGGATTAATTGTCAATTGCAGTTAGATCTGAAATTTACATATCACAAACTTTTTAAAAATTTTGAACAAAAAAAGACTTTTTTGTAACTTCTTAAAAAACATTTGTATTTATTCATTTATTTAAGTAATCTCTACACCCAACATGGGGCTCAAACTCACAACCATGAGAACAAGAGTCACACACTCTTCTGAATGAGCCAGCCAGGTGCCCTGCACTGTCATAGACTTGAAATTTGCTGCTGAGTATGGCCTCTGCGATGTAAAAGGAGTAGAGAGAAATCTAATTGAACCGGTAACCATAGGTGATCATAAACAGTTGTGTGTGCCATTCTGTCGAGTATGAATTTTATCTGAGGGGTGACTGAAAGCCATAGAAGGATTTTGAACAGACCCAACTCAAGTGCCTCCTTCTGTGAAAGCATTACCTGGCTACAACACTTGGTGGGGAATTCCTTTAACCCATGTGGTTTGTATCATTTAGTCTCATCTCCCCTTAGATTTGATACCCTGTGTTATATTTTTGTTGTCTGTTATCCATACCTACAATATGCGCTCCAAATAGATTTGTTCTGTGAAGGAAAGAAGCAAAAGCAAAGGAATTGTTTGAGTTCCTGTGATTGCACAATTCAATCCATTGGAATTGAGTTCACAATGTGGATGAACCATCGAAGTCTTATACAGAGAAAAAACAAAACTTTTAAGGTGTTTGTAAGTATGAATGTGAATTATACAACCGTATTTATTCACATGAAGCCTCTACTTTTTTATTTGCTCAGTTCTACTGAACCCCAAGGTGCTTGGGACTACGGAGGACACAAAGCAAGTGTATATGCTATCAGTATAATGTTCATCATAGATGGAATTGATTTATCTAGTTAATATATTTTGTAAGATAAGTGAAAGGGCTAAGATTCATTACTAGGGCTAATTCCACTGTCGAAATCCCAATCATAGCCCTTAACCTTGCAAATCTACATATTTCATTTGAGAAAGGATGCTTAAATGCTACTGCAGAAAGACACCCCCCGCACCCCCCCCACCAGTGCTTCTCAAAGTGTGGTACCCGAGCCAGCAACAGCAGCACCTGGAGGTTTGTTCAAAAGTGCATAAATGCAAATTATCAGGCCCCACCCCAGCAAGCCTACAGAATCTGAAATTCTGAGGGTGAGGCATGGCAATCTGAGTTTTTAAAAGCCCTCCAGGTGACAGGGGCGCCTGGGTGGCTCAGTCGTTAGGCGTCTGCCTTTGGCTCAGGTCATGGTCCTGGGGTCCTGGGGATCGAGCCCTGCATCGGGCTCCCTGCTCCGCGGGAGGCCTGCTTCTCCCTCTCCCACTCCCCCTGCTTGTGTTCCCTCTCTCGCTATGTCTCTGTCAAATAAATAAATAAAATCTTAAAAAAAAAAAAAAAAAGCCCTCCAGGTGATTCTGATGCAGGAAGCTTAAGTTTCAGAGCTACTGCCAGTAACTCTGGCTGGCTGCCCTTTGCAAGGGAACTTACTCCCCACTCTTCAGGGATCCTTAATATCTATTGGTTTGCTTTGCCATTACCCTAATACAGATGGAACGTAAGGCCCATTAGACAAAACATGAACCAGACCTGTTCCACAGAACTGTGATGTCAGTTTTCCTTGGCTTTGCATTTGGTCATCTAAAAAAAAAAAAAAAAAAGTATTGCTTCATGAGCCACACTGGTCTCTGAACTTTTCCCTTTTCTAGTAAAAGTACAAATTCCAGCTGGAGTTCTTGACCAACAACATCTTTCTACAGAAGTTGCTGTCTTCTATGCTGTGCTGAGTTCCAGAGATAAGATAAATAATTTACCAAATGTAGGTTTCTGATTACTCACTCTATTAGCATTTAGAGCAGAGAGCTCCAGCCCCTGGGGAGTTTGATTCGTTCAGATGCAGCCCATCTGCTTTTGTTTTTTTGTGGGGTGTTTTTTGGGGGGGGGGTGGGGTTGCCTGGAAAAGCCAGGGAGCTCCCAGCATCCCACACATACTTTAGGGATGAACTGCCTAAATCTTAAGGGTTTTACTGGAAATTCTGGGGAATGCTATTTTCTTATTTTAAAAAAACACACAGCTGCTAAGAGACTCTTTCTTCCTCCCTGTCCCCTCTCTCTTTTTTTTTTATGCTGAGTAAAAACAAAACTCCACAATTCATTTTCATTTATTATACGAAATAAGATAGCTGAAAGGGTATTTTCAATCTTGTGCAATTTATTTATCCTAAATTTATGCTGCACACCACAAGAGTAATTTCAGGGAATTTTATAGAAGGGATGCAGTAGTTTCTCCTAAATCAAGTGACACTGTTGGGGTGGGGGGCAGAAAAAAGGAACAGCCTGTTACATCAAAGAGTCATCCTTCACTCACACAATTTCTAAAGTATTGTAGCAATGTCAGTAGTGATAGAAGCAATAGGTTTGTACCTGTAGTTATTCCGTGGTTCTTTTCTGGATGGTAAATACATGTCATTATTATTTTATACAGTTCTTAAGAGTAAACTGGGGTACAAAAGAAATCACAGCAAAAACAGCTGATTCTGTGGATTGTCTCTTGCAAAAGCAGACGCAAAAACTGAGATAAACCGAAGAAGCAATGTGTTAGATATGGAATCCACGCTCTTTTGGTTCCTTCAAGATAACGTGATCAGCAACTTACTTCATCCCTTTTGAAAAGAAATAACTGAACTGCCTGTCTGGATGGTATATCATAGCGGTGAGAGGATCTTATTTTGGAAATCTCTGAGAAAAAGAAATTGCATTTAGTCTCTGTATTTTGTATTTTCACGGACTGTCTTCATGCAAAATCAAGATTACACATCCCACTTCCTCCGGTGAACACCCTGTGAATGAGTAAAACAGTAACACGATGACATCTTACTACAAACCTGACTATTATTTTCCTGTCAGTGACTTAGTAAAAAGCTGATAAAAAGCTGATCTCTCCCAATACCAAGTTGCACTGAAAAACCCTTGCATGGAAATGGAAGTTGTGGGTTGCTTTGGGGAGTGCACCTAGCTGAGCAATGAGCCCAGGTACAAAAACACCGTATTAGATCGGGGATACCCCTACAAGGTAAGGTAAGGACACAAAAGGAATTCCTTGGGCTTCACAGCTCTGGGTTGGAAGCAATTAAAGAGGGAAAGGTGTAAAAATGGTACTTGCTACCTATTTTGTGTTCCTCTGGGAGATTAACCTACTTTCTTGGCTCATTTTCTTTTCTTTTCTTTTTTTTTTTTTTAAAGATTTTATTTATTTATTTGAGAGAGAGAGCACATGAGAGGGGGGAGGGTCAGAGGGAGAAGCAGACTCCCTGCTGAGCAGGGAGCCCGATGCGGGACTCGATCCTGGGACTCCAGGATCATGACCTGAGCCGAAGGCAGTCGCTTAACCAACTGAGCCACCCAGGCGCCCTTGGCTCATTTTCTTCTTCCTACATCAGTTGGTCAAAAGCTCTGGTAGCTGGCAGCCTCAGAAGACTCCATCTGCATCAGTCAGCAGAGTTCAGGGCCTCTCCGGGACACACACAGTCATTTACCTCGGTTTCCTCTGCTTTCTCCGCACAGCTGGTAAAAAGCCTGCCCCAAGCTTCAACACATTCTCCCTCGTCCTAAGAGTGTGCCAAGCCCAGGACGGCGAGTTAATAGTTGGAGCGTGCGCTCCTTTTCTCTTTTCCTGTCTTCTGACATATCCAAGAGGCTGGAGCGGTAAATCTGAGAAAAGAGGCGTGTATAAGTACACACACACACACACACACACACACACTCACTCATGAGGGGAATTTGGACCCAGCCCCTTGCTCTCCACTCCAGCTTCCCGTCTGCTGCATTTTAGAAGGTTTCATATTGCTCCTGCAACATTTTTTTGGTTGGTTGGAGGGCTGAATGAAACACAACCTTCCCTGCAGACATCAAAGCGTGTCTCCTGCATAGCAAACTCTCCATCCAGCCTTTCGTCTCTCCGGCTACATTCCAATTTAACTGGGGCTGCCTTGCATGATAATCAGGCCTAATTACTGCTTTATCCCTTGATTGTTGTGCTGAGTTCTGGAACTGGCGAGCTTTTCTCAGTTTGGTCCTGCCTCTTCCCTCACTCTCCCTCCTATTATTTAGCACACCCATCTGAGAGTTCGCTGACTGAGCCTCATCGTTTACGAATGGTCAGAAAGGGCAAGACTGTGCCTTTGGGATCTCATCACGCTGCCCACCCAGGAAACTTGAATACCTTTCACGACTGTGGGAAGACCTTGCCACGGACAGGATATTCTGAATACCTCAGGAGCTTTAAAGAGATTTATTACCAGGTTAAAGAGTAAAACAGGCCATGAGATGATATCCTCGTTCCCCAGAGCTATTTTCCTACCTTTTCTCTTACCGCACACACACAAACACAAAATCGTTTACGGAATGTTGAAACCAGAAGGAAAGGGACGTCAACAAGGACCTCTGGAAACTTCCTGCCAGTTCTTTCACTTTGGTAAGATGCATTTTGAGGCCTTAATTTCTAGAACTGAAAAAGGCATCACAGGCAAATAATTGAAAAAATGGGGGATCAGGTAATCCCGTTTACCTCCATCTTAAACCATCCAGGTAGACGATAATTATTTTACTGTAAATTTCTTTTTAATGTACTATTGCATACATTCTCTGAGTGCCTACATGTGCCAGGCACAGTGTTGGGTGCTAGGGACTCCAAGACAATATGACACAACTCTTGTTCTCAAGGTGAACAAGCTGAGCTTTAAAAGACTCCAGGCAGGGGCACCTGGCTGGCTCAGCCTGCAGAGCACGTGACTCTCGATCTCGGGGGTCGTGAGTTTGAGTCCCTGTTGGGCAGAGAGATTACTTAAAAAAAAACATAAAGGATTACAGGCAGTTAGGCGAGGGGAACTCAGAAGACTGGGAAGGTCTAGATGCAATCATTTTTCAAAAATATAATCTGAGCGAAACAAAATTGATCTTGAGTTGATCATTGTGGAAGCTGGGTTTTGAAACATGATTGCTCATTATTACTATTTTGTCTATTTCTTATGTTTGAAATATTCCATAATAAAAAGTCAAAGAAAGGAGTGTAATCCGGGAACCATAACCTGTAGAACCACCTGGCGGGAACTGGTTGAAATGCAGATTTTCGGGCCCCACCGAATCCTAGTCAGTGTCTCTTGATGGGGCTCAGGAATCTGCATTTTAAACAAGCTCCTCATGCAAATCCGATGCCTACTGAAACTGGAGTTCCTTGGCAGGGGAGACAGTCAGTGCCAACAGTGGAGGCTTAGGAAAGAAGAAAAACCATTTATCAGCGAAGAAAAACTGCCCTGGAAACCACTTAGTGAGATCAGACAATTTCAGACCTGGAAAGAGGACCGTCAAGATCCCGAGGCTAGGCCAGAGCATCTCAGATTGTAAGGTGCACAGGCATCACCTGGGGATCCTGTTCAAATGCTGTCGGTTGGGGTAGGGCCTGGAATTCTGCGTTTCTAGCTAGCGCCCAGGTAAAGCCTCGCTGCGGATCTGGGGATCACACGTGGATTAGGAAGGATTCGTATTTTACAGAGAAGGAAACCGAGGCTCCGAGAGAATAGTACTTGCTCAGAGTTGCAAGCATCCCAGTGCATCCCTTTGTGCTGCTGTTGGCTAAGGAGGCTGAGCCCATGAAGGAGCCTCTTACCAGCTGGGTATGGGGAGCAGGCTACCTTCCATGGGGGTTGCAAACGTGGGCCAGTCCTGGAGCTGAGCTGCAGTACACATTTCTCCTCAGCACCACAGGGGTGCTGTCCTGCCACAGTCTGTTATTTCTTATCATCATGACTGTATCTCCCAGGTCTGGGCTCTTGAATTCTTCTTGGAATTCCATGAGACTTCTTGGGTAATCATTAGATCTACTGAATTCATGACCCAGCGCACTGACATGTGCCAGGATTTTAGCATATTTTCAGTCCAGTGCTAGTGCATTGAGCATGTTAGCTCTCCTGAGTTGCAAAGACAATATGGTTTATAATCTATTAAATATACTCCGTGGTATCAGGATTGGGGAGCATTCTCTGACACAGGAAATCCTGTTTCACACAGTGACTGGTAAACTCAGAAAACTGATTATCCCAGACCTGGTACAGATTCAAGTATCTTTCCCACTCTCCCTGAAGGACGGATAAGATAGTTTATCATCCTTAATGAAAGGGGATGCTTGGGTGGGGGGTGCTTCCTAACCTTTGAGGCTGAGGTCAGAGAGGCTGTTCCTGCCCTCCATTTCCCTGTCGGTGACAGCTCAGGACAGGGCAAGGCAACTAAAGAACTGAGCTGGGGGCGTGTTTTCTAATCACTAATTTACAGGTAGTGAAGAACTATAGTAGGATATTTGGACTCAAGAAATTTCTAAACAAAAATGCTACCAGAACCTCCCTCCGCAGACACAGACACAGACACACACGCCCCCATTCTCCGCCTATCCCCTCAAATGAAGCATCTTTTCCTCTGGCCTCCAAACAATTTCTGTTGTAAGGAAATGTCTCTGGGTTAGAACAGTCTGTGATCTTTCCCGAAGACATGAGCATGTCCTCTTGAAACATCACATGTTACATTTGTATCTCTTCCCCCTGGTCCAAAGCCACATTTTCCCTGAGCCTTCTTATCTAGAAACGCTAACTCCGGGACAGATGAATGGTAGGCAGAATCTCCAGCCCTTGCGGTCCCAATCAGAGTGAAGTTTGAAAGCTTCCCTTAGGATCAGAGTCCAGGGAAAAGTTAATTTTTGGTTCTAGGCATGTGGACTTAGATTTTTGCGCGGGTGAGGAGTGAGGGCTTGGAATGAGTAAACTCTTGGGGGTGGGGGGGCTGGGGCGCCGGGATGGGGGAAGGGCCTAGGGCCTCCCTGGAGCCCCGGGCCTTTAGTAATCTGCTTTGTGAATGGAGTTAAAGGGGGAGGGGGATGCGCATACTTGGAATGCCTTTATCTGGGTGGGCTCCTTCTCTCCGGACTTTCAGGATGTGGGAAATGGAAGATGAAAGAGGCTGCATTTCCAGCCTATCAGGTTACAGTGTGTAAAATGGAGAGGGAAAGAAGGGAGGGGGGTGGAGAGGGAGGAGGGGGGGAGAACGGGGGAAGGCCGCGTCCAGGGGGGGGCCCGGGAAACCCAGTTTGGGAACTGGCTGGGGAGAGAGAAAGAAAGAGAGCCGGGGCGTGCAGAACACGTTTCACATCACCTCAGAGCTGTGGAATTTCCTCTCTTCTGGGGGGAGGCCTGTGAAGATGAAGTTGGTTGAAGGTTAGTCGGTGATGAATAATAGCCCAAAGGCGTCTGATTGAGGGTGTTACCAAGTGACTGGTGTTTACAAGCAGAGATTCGGGGGTGGGGAAGGGAGGTGAGAGCCGGGGCCATCTTCGGTCCGAGGTGGTAAGCTAAGGCTGTGCCCCGAGGATGGAGTCCATGTATGGGTTTTATTTGGGTCTGACCCCTGTGGTATGCGGAGCCCGAAGTGCGGGCCGAGGAGGGGCGCGAGAGGAGTGGGACGGTAATAAAGGCGGGAGAACCTCCTCTGTGGCTGAGGGATCCGGGGCCCGGCGGGCACGAGCTGGGTTCTGCTTTGTGTCTCGGGCGTCCCCGGGGCGGTCCCTGCGGCTCGGTGCCTGTTCCAGTCGGGCCACGTGCCCCACGCCACTCAGCTGTCGCCGCCCCGCGCTCCGAGGCCTTACCTCCCAAGAGCTGTGCTCTTTCCTTCCCTTCTACCCAGGCCGGTGTCCTTCCTCGTGGTCTTAAGAGAAAGAGAGCGCCCTCCTCAAAACCTCCACCCCGGTGTGAAAGTGTGCCAAGCAGGGTGAGTGGTTGGAAGGGCCAGGGACAGCTCCTTTGGGGAAGACTCTAGATAGTGGAGGACCCTCGGGTCACGTTCTGGCAGAGACAGGCATAAAGCACAGGGCTCGGGAACACGGAAGCAAGCAATGGGGAAAGCGTGTCCAGAGAAAAGGAATATTTATTAAACCCTGATACCAACCATAATTAGGCAAACGTATTGTCCTAGTGATAGGATGGGTAGGGAGTTATTAGATGGCATATAAATCACCCCCATACAACAGATGACAAAAATATTGCTTGTTTGGGAAAAATTAGAATACAATAAAATACACTTGTCACAAACCATACCAAGCTTCATTTCATCTTTTTTCTCTTGTTTCAGAAAGCTGTTTCGGATCTTGCAGTCTATCAGGGTCATCATTTTCGAACATCTATTAGTGCCATATTGTAGTCGAGTGAGAGGTTCAGTTAATAAAGATTTCTGGTTGATAGATTGCTAAAGCAAGCAGCCTTTTGCACTGTCTTCTTTGAATTGCTACTGAGCCATAGAACAATACACTCAGTCCCTTTTTTATCATTTTACAAACCAAACACATTCTCCCTCTCCTTTCTCTCTTTTCCAAACACCTTCCCCCAACAGTTTTGGAAAATAAATACAGTGTTTCTTCCTCTGTTTTATCTGCTCTCTGGCTAGCTCTCCAAGGAGAGCTGTAGCCTTGACCCTTGCCAGACTAAGCCCAGCTTCCCTAATCTACACTGGTCCTTTTTTTTTTTAAGTAATCTCTACACCCAGCTGGGGACTCGAACACACAACCCTGAGATCAAGAGTCACCCGCTCCGCCGACCGAGCCAGCCAGGCACTCCTATGCTGTTCTTTCCTGAACCCACAGTCATTTTCTAAGTTTGACTTTTTTTTTTTTGAAAGGTTTATTAAATTTGGGTTGGAAACTATTATTTGAACTGGTCCGTCTGGATTTCTTAGTGGTTTCCTAAGAACAGGAAAGGGTGCTAACTCAAGTGATATTTCTGTTGGGCCCAAGGAAAATAAGCCAAAAGCATGTTTTTCTATTCTTTGTTGACATGAAAATTAGTTTTTGAAAGCCCTATAGTCAGCTTAGTCCATCATAACCTGCTGTTGACCTTAGTGGAGGATCTAAGGACTCGAACGTTAAAATTAGAACTGACTTTGAGTACTGGCCCTATTTACCAGCTGTGCACCTTATTTTTATTTAACTAACACTTATACAGCATTTACTATGTGCCAAGCACTGTTCTAAGCGTTTTACAAATATTTGCTTGGCTAATCCTCAGAGTAGTATTATTATGTAACACTATTATGAAGTAGCTTTATTGTTGTCCTCGCTTTACAGCTGAGGAATCTGAGAGGTGGAGATGTGACGAGCGTGAGTTTAAGCTTGCTTCCCTAGCACATCCCCTGTTAGGTGGGAGACGGAGCTCTGTTTCCACATCCACCACCACACTACCTTGGACAAGTCACTAGGCAGTGCTGGGGCCCTGGGAGGCGTGGGAAACTGCGGGGCAGGGAAGACGGGCATTTCCACACACATGAAAACCCAAAGAGCAAAGCCAGAGGGAGGGGAGATTTCGAGGGCTGCTCTTCCCGCCCCCATCCCCATGTAGAGCACCATACCTTCTTATAATTCAATCCACAGCCTCAGTCCTGTACCATTTCCGTTTCCTTGAACTGCATCTAGACATGATTCTGGTCCCCACCAGCTTCTGACCTCATTACTCATTCTGTTTACGGCTTGGCCTCACCCTTCAGACTGCCCTGATTTCCCAGATAGGAATTTGGCTGCCCTCATTGACTATGATTCAGATTTTTGCCCGGCCACATTGCGCTAAAGCCCTCCTGGGTACACAGCCCTCTAGTCAGACTGATACCCAGACCCCCCTCCTCCTTCCTTCCCTGAGACCCCTGTCTTGGGTGAGGCAGGGCTCTATGAATATATCCTGCTCCAGAGAGTTCGGGCAGGGTCACAGAGAACCTTGAATGAAATCGGGGGGGGGGGGG